ACTTTTATAAGTAGAGGTAGTTTGAATGTGGAACAAGGCTTCAGCTCCAGCTCAAACATAATCAGGGAGAAACCAGACTACTGAGCACTCTCTCTGTGTCTTACAGGTTTAAGGGAGCCGAAGCACCATGAGCCCAGCCAGGACCGTGCCGATGTTCTTCACCTACAAGCTGATTTTCTTTCTGACCGTCATCTCAACTGAGTTTGCATATTCAGCAGCAGCGGGCTCTACTCTGACTCTCACCTCCAACCAGACAGCCTCCAACCACAGCAAATGTGGTGGAAGCACCGGCTGCATAGAGGGCGTCATCCTGCCTGTGTGGAAGCCAGAAAACCCAGCCTTCACTGACCGCATCGCCAGAGCAACCATATACTTCGTGGGGTTAGCGTACATGTTCTTAGGGGTCTCCATCATCGCCGATCGCTTCATGGCATCCATCGAAGTCATCACCTCCCAGGAGAGACGGATCACCATCAAGAAACCAAACGGTGAGAAGATCACGACGACTGTACGCATCTGGAACGAGACGGTGTCCAACCTGACCCTGATGGCGCTGGGTTCCTCCGCCCCAGAGATCCTCCTCTCCGTGGTGGAGGTTTGTGGGCACAACTTCAACGCCGGGGAGCTTGGTCCCAACACCATCGTAGGGAGCGCCGCCTTCAACATGTTTGTCATCATCGGGCTGTGCGTGTCTGTCATTCCTGAAGGAGAGACCAGAAAAGTGAAGCACCTGCGCGTGTTCTTCATCACCGCTGCCTGGAGCGTCTTCGCTTACACCTGGCTTTACCTGATCCTGGCTGTCTTTTCTCCAGGAGTCGTGGAGATATGGGAGGGCCTTCTCACGCTCTTCTTCTTCCCGCTTTGCGTTGGACTGGCGTACATAGCGGATCGCAGACTTCTTTTCTACAAATACATGTACAAGCGATACAGAGCAGGGAAGCGGAAAGGAGTGATCATCGAAACGGAGGGCGAGCCAGAACTTCCCTCAAAGGTTGACATTGAAATGGATGGAAAAATGCTCAACTCTCACGGAGAGGAGTTCACGGATGGAGAGGCGGGATTTGAAGGGAAGGAGCTGGACGAGGAGGAGGCCCGCAGGGAGGTGGCGAGGATCCTGAAGGAGCTGAAACAGAAACATCCGGAGAAGGAGATGGAGCAGCTGATGGAGCTTGTGAATTACCAAGTTTTGACCCAGCAACAGAAGAGTCGAGCTTTCTACCGCTGCCAAGCGACCAGAATCATGACCGGAGCGGGTAACGTCCTGAAGAAGCACGCCGCCGACCAAGCCAAGAGAGCCACCCACGACATCTTCTCTGAGGTGTCGCTGAACGACTTCTCTTCCAAAGTGATCTTCGACCCTGGTACCTACCAGTGTTTGGAGAACTGCGGCAGCGTGGCGCTGAATGTGGTTCGGCGTGGCGGAGACCTGACCAGCACGGTCTCCGTGGATTACCGGACAGAAGACGGCACCGCCAACGCCGGCTCCGATTATCAGTTCACAGAAGGAACAGTTGTGTTCAAACCCGGTGAGACGGAAAAAGAAATCCGCATCGATATTATTGATGACGACATCTTTGAAGAAGACGAGCACTTCCTGGTTCACCTAAGCAACGTCAGAGTCACAGCTGAGGGTTCGAACCGCCACGAGGCAAACCACGCGGACGCCCTCGCAGGTCTGGGTTTGCCCTGCACGGCCACCGTTACCATCTTTGATGACGACCACGCCGGGATCTTTACGTTCGAGGAGCCAGTGATGACCGTGAGCGAGAGCGTCGGGGTGATGGAGGTCAAGGTGATCCGGACCTC